TATACCATATATGGAGCCCTGGTGGTGCAGTTGTTAAAGCACTTGGTGGTTAATCAAAAGTTCGGCAGTTCAAACCCACAAGCCGCTCTGTGGGAGAAAGACATGGCAGTCTGCTTCTGTAAAGATTTACAGCCTTGGAAACCATTTTAGGCAGTTCTACTCCATCCCATAGGGTTGCTATGAGTCAGAAACGACTTGACGGCAATGTTTGGTGTGTATATATATATATATATAAATTATAAAAATATATGTTTGTATGTTTTATATATAAACATATAAAATATATAAACAAAATTTATTAAAAATATATTCATTTTAGTTTCTTTTTTCTGAATTATTTGCAAGTTGTTTGTGCTAAATACTAAACAAGGGCATTTCTAAAACTAGTACATTCCCCTCATAACTACAGTTCTTTTATAACATACCCACTGCCTATATTTCAGTCAAAATTCTTTAGCATAGTAGTCAATGTCCTGTATTTTATGGCTCCAACATAAGTTTACAATCTGTGACCAGTCTGGAAAAATACTGTCAATTAGTTTGGGGAATCACATTCTAAATGCATGTATGTGTGACAATGAATGGACATGCTTTAAAAAAAAAATCAAGAATTATGTAGGTACTATTTTACATTAAAAAATTATTAGATTTCCTTAATTCATAGAATAAAACCTTTTTAATACTTGTTAATTAGGATCGATCCAAAAAGAAATTCAAAAAACCTCTTATTTCCTTCTCAAGTAATCAGAAATCGAATGACTTGTTTGCATCAGTCACATTATACAAAGTTTGTCTGAGAGCATATCACCAAAGTTTCTTATCATTGATTCATAGTTTCTTGGTTTCATAATTATAGTTCCAAAAATTGTGTGTGTGTGTATTTATATATTCTGCACGTAATTATCTGGCATATACATGGAGACTGCGGGGTAACATCAAGTCATGCTGCCATGACCTGTAACTGTTTGCTAATTAAAATAACATCTACCTATCTTCTTTTTATGGGCCTTGCCAAATATGAAGAGCCAAAACATTGAATATAGAGTATTTTTTCTCGCCATATATTTAAGTGTATTTATTTGACTACTCTCCATTAAAAGCTATTCTCCAGGCCATTATAATAAGCTCAAGAGACATATGTTACATATAGAGATTAGACAGAAAAATTAACTAAATAGGAGTCTATATTTTAAAGGGATGTTATTATCATTAAGTGTTAAGTCCAAAACATATGGAAAAAAAAGTGATATCACTGTCTCTCTTTATATTAGAAGAATAGGTATAAACTCTGCTTCTGTTAATTTTAAAAATAATAAAATTAATGGCTGTAATTTATTGAGCATATGCTGTGAGCCAGGCACGTGGTATCTAAGTACATTACTTATATTTTTTAATGCTTACTCAAAGCCTATGAGATAAGTAGTATTATGTTCCCTGTTATAGAAATGAAGAAACAGAGACATACAACAGGTGAGAAAATTATAGAGGACGTTGTGAAAATTACCAAATATGATTTATTTTTTGAGTACCAATGCTTACGTATATGAATTGATCTTATAGCTGATGAAGATCTGGATATGAATACATTGAAAGAGATTGTGAAGAATCTTAAAGGTAAACAAAAAGTTATCATGAGAAGATTGATAAAAGCAATAGTCTGATGCTTTTCCATATTTCTTTTTATTTTTCCTTGTATTTTATTAAGATGGTTATATAATTCAAATGGTACACAAAGACTAAAATTAAAATAAACAGTCCCTCATTCCATCTTTCCCCATTCCCAGTAACACTCTCCTTGAGAAAACTACTTTAATGCTTCTGGTTTTAGATCTTTAATAATCACTTCCATATCTTTAAATAATATGCTGTACCACTATATGCTGATTTATCTATACTATTGGTTCCCAAACCTTTTGGTCTCAGGGTTCCTTTATACTCTTAAAAATTATTGAGGATTCCAGAAAAATTTTGTTTATGTGAGTGGTATCTGTTGATATTTACCATATTAAAACTGAGAAAATTTTAAAGCATTTAAGAATTCATTTTAAAATACTAATAATAAACTCATTACATGTTAGCATAAATTTTATACTTTTAATGAAAAGTAACTGTATTTTCCGAAACAAAAAAAAAATTATTGAGAAAAAGAACATTGTTTTGCATTTTTATAAATAGCTTAAATGTCTGGCTAGCTTCTGATATCTGCTTCAGCATTCAATCTGTTGTGATAGGTTGTTTTGGTTGAACTATATGATGTAAATCTGGCCTCACGCAAATATGTAGTTGGAAAAGAGAGAAATATTTTATAGTTTTTTCAGATAATTGTGGATATTCTTCTCTGAGAGTACAATAAAACTTGACTAGTGGTAGTTTCCTAACATTTAGTTACAATGTGGAATCCGAAAGCCTAGTATCAGTGAAGTTTTCATGCTCTGTTAAACATTAAAATCTATTTGTCAGTTTTGAACATTAAATGGATTTTTTTATCCTTGCAGAATTTTTTTATTGTTCATCATTTGGAAAATATTGGATCATTGAGTTTTGTAGATCTTCTAAATGTTGACACGTCATCATATAATATATTTTTCAAATCACATTCATTGATATAACCACCAGTCTCATAAGAAAAGTCTGAAACCATTGGGAAGCTCTCAAGCTCATGGTGGCAGATACAAGTTATCCAAAATTCTTATTTTCATTTGAAAACTCAAATTTTATCATTGACAACAAACATTGTAAGTTTTCTTTTCCTTGAAGTCTGACAGATTTACTTTGTTCATTTTTAAGAATATGTCTCCCACATACCCAAGACTGAATAACAACAGTTTATCTGTCAGTCATTCTTTCAAATAAAAATGGTGTCTGTGAAAAAAACAGCTAATGTAGCTCACAACTCAACTGCACAGTGCTTTTCCTCAAGAGAAACTTTCATAGTTCAGTATATAGCAGAAGTACCTTATGTACTTCCATTTTATCTTACATAATATTAAAATATATCTCATTAATAATAGCTTTTACTGCTTCATCAAGACATTCTTTAGTAAAACTGAATTTTTTTATTTTACCACAAATACATGTTTTTTGTTGTTGTTTTAGGTGGGTATTTCTCTACAATAGGCTTTAAGGTTCTTAAGAGAATATCTTTCCATGGGAAGAAAAATTTCTATTCTTTTATGTGTTTATCTGTATTTTGGCAAAAAAATATATCTTTTTTTTTTTTGCTTTTGTCAGCACCATAGAATTTGAAGACACTAAAAATTAAAAATTTTTATGTAATCAATGTGAAGTTAATTGTAACCTAAATATCTATAGAAAAATCAACATGTAAAATATTTAATATTATCAGGTGAATGTAGTCAACAGAGTGATTTAGGAATTAAGACTCAAATCAATGTTTTGCTTTCAAGTCAGATTTATATGAATTGATTGTCTATGTTACCATAAATACCCAACAGTGTTTACTCTAGCCTTATCCATTTATCATGATCCATTGAAGTATAATTAAGGGAACGACTTCTATTTTAACTCTCTGCATTCTGTTTGAACAATTGTCACTGTGTCAAAATAAAGCATGTTTTTTTCACACCTGAAAATCATTAGGAAATCTCAATTTCTTGTCATTCACTTCCCCATGTCTTCAAAGAAAAAATCGAGGTCTGTAACCTGGACAACTTCCTGGACAATATGGGGATTGAACTTACATATGAGGAACAAAAGGAGTTGGTAAATCATCTCCCAGCTAATGGTGAGCATTTCACTTATTTCGGTGCCCTTCAAAGAGGGCTGATAGGGTTATTGTTGTTGTTGTGTGCTGCCAAGTTGATTACGACTCCTAGCAACCCTGTAGGACAGAATAGAACTGCCCCATAGGGTTTCCTAGGCTGAAATCTTTATGGGAGCTGGTTGCCAGGTCTTTTCTCCCACAGATTGGCTCGTGAGTTCGAACTGCCGATCTTTTGGTTAGCAGCTGAGTACTTAACCATTGTGACACCAGGACTCCTTCTGTTAGAGTTAATTATAAGAAATACTCATATTGTACTTTTAAGTACTATAAAAGCATGCAGAAATATCCTCGACTAAAGAATGGAGTGTGCGTGTGTGTGTGTGTGTGTGTGTGTTTCTTGTTGTGATTTTTAAAATTAGCAGTAAGATTTTAAATGGATATTAAGAAAGTTCTGCCTTCCAAGCTACTAAGAGTAACCTGTGCCAGAAATTCCTGAAATTCTAATTTCTTTCGGTTAAGCAATGACAGTAATAAAGTAGCTTTCATTTACACAGAACTTACTACGTAATAAGGAACCCTGGTGACACAATGGTTAAGCACTTGGCTGCTAACTGAAAGGTCGGTGGTTTGACCCACCAGCTGCTGTACGGGAGAAAGATGTGGCAGTTTGCTTTCATAAAGATTACAACCTTGAAAACCCTATAGGGAAGTTCTACTCTGTCCTATAGGGTTGCTGTGAGTTGGAATCAACTTGATGGCAATGGGTTTGGTTTTGGGTGTACTATGTAACAGGGACTATACTTTAAATATTATTCTAAGAACTAAAGAAGTAACATAAATAATGTCTAAGGTAAATGTTAGTTGTTTTTCCTCCCTTATATCGGAATACAAATGGGAAGGAGGGCAATAAAGTGATGCTCTAATAAAGTGGTGAATCATGAAAGTTAACAGTTGTAGTCTTTAATGAGAAATAGCTCTAATCCCACTGTGATTCATTTTTAGTTTGCTCATTTATTCATTCAACGAATATTTATTTATTGAGGGCCTTCTATGTGCCAGGAGTTGTACTAGGCAAAAGGAATACAAAGATGAATTAGGCGAGTTCCTGCAATCAAAGAATTTATAGTTTAACTGGGGAAGGGGGACAGAATATGAAGGAAAATGCAAAATAAAGTGTTAAAAATTCCACATTACTGAGTGTCCATATAAATAAATATCTGTGGAAGGATGGGAGGAGGATTGGAGGGAGAGTAGGAGGAATCGAATGATGGTTGCTTTTAGGCAGCTGTAAATAACGGAATCTGTGGAGTAGTTTAAAAAAGAAAGAGTGACCCAGACTTCCTGGAGCCATTGAGGCTGGATGAACCCCTGAATCTATTCCCTGAGATAATCTTTAAACCTTAAACCAAAAATATCCACTGCAGTTTTCTTAAAACCAAACAATAGTTTAGCTTAACTAGTAAAAAATGTCTGCCTTGAGCATTATGCTCTTTTAGGAACTATCTACCCACTGCCACTGAGTGGGTTCTGACTCATAGCGATCCTATAGGACAGAGTAGAACTGCCCCATAGGGTTTCCAAGGCTGTAAACCTTTATAGGAGCAGACTGCCACATCTTTCTCCCTCAGAGCAGATGGTGAGTTCGAACCACCAACCTTTTGGTTAGCAGCTGAGCTAGCAGCTGAGAGCTTTAACCACTGTGCCATCAAGAACTATCTATATGGGATCAAATCAACAACAGCAACTCAAAAGATTAGATTGGAATCTTAGGGGGCAGTGAATTTATGTTGATGAGGGAGGAAAAACTCAGAGAAGGAGGGTGAGAATGGTTGCACAACTCAAAGAATGTATCGATGTCACTAAATGGTACATGAAGAAACTGTTGAATTGGTGTATGTTTTGCTGTGTATATTCTCAACAACAACAACAAAATAAATAAAATATACATATATGCATATATATACATATATACATATGTGTACATATATATATGTAAAAGAAAGAGCAAGTCGGTGCTATAGAAGTAGGCAAGGTTAGATCATAGAGGATCTGGATTTCATTCTACAAAATAGTGTGTGTGAGTGGGCGGTGTGCATTGAAGGTTTTTTTTTGAGAGTTGACATTATGTTTTGTTCTCTATACTTTCAAAAGTTATCAAACCAAAGATTATAGATTATAATAACTCAGAAGACACTTTAAATTCTAAAATGTAGTTTTACACATATTGAGTATTGTTAGGTGCCATAAAAATAGCTACACTATACTCCATTTAAAGAGAAGGTAAAATTCCAGGGAAAATAATTTTTAAAGACTTACTGTTTATACTGTTTTTTATAATTTCAAGTCTTTGTGCTTTTTCTTTGATTTTCCATATCAATTACTGCTTCTCTTTAAAATCTTGTATCTTGTCTCACAGCTGATGGGAAGATAAATCAGCTTAAATTGATGAATACCATGAAGACTCTTAAAAGTGAGTAATAAGACAAGAAGACATAAAATTAAAATCTTGATCCTTTGCAATAATATTTTACTAAAGCCTATAAAATGTTTGTCCATGATTATTAGAATGCATATTCATAGTACTGTATACAAAGCTTAGAAAATACAAGGGAAACATAACCAAAACCCAAAAACCAAACCCTTAGCCGTAGAGTTAATTCTGTCTCATAGTGACCCTATAGGACAGAGTAGAACTGCCCCATGAGGTTTCCAGGGAGCAGCTGGTGGATTCGAACTGCTAACTTATTAGTTAGCAGCCGAGGTCTTAACCACAGTGCCACCAGGGCTCCAAGGGAAACATAAAGAGGAAAGTTAAAAAAAAAAAAAAAACGAAAAGACAAAGATAACAAATGTCCATATTTTGGTATATTTTCTTTTATTCTCCTTTATACTTTGCTTTGAAGTTTTTAAGCAATGATTTTTAATGTTCATATTATTTCATGTACGGTAAAATGTTAATCATATTTTATTGATTGGTAGGCAATCTGTGTCCATTGATACTGAATTTCTTTCATGGAAAGAGAAGCTATTAAACAACTTCCATGATCTCTTTATATATTTCTTATAAATAATCTAACTTAATCTGGCTTTGTTAAAGTGGTCATGTTCTAGATCTGCACAGAAACTCCTGGTATAGGTGGTAACTAGTGATGTCACAGTGTCTGAGAGCTCGGCTGCTAATCAAAAGACTGGCAGTTCGAATCCACGAGCCGCTCCTTGGAAACCATATGGGGCAGTTCTACTCTGTTGTATAGGGTCGCTATGAGTCAGAATCGACTTGATGGCAACGAGTTTGGTTTGGTTTTATCCAATATATGGATAATCTTTACAGAAGGTCCTATAGGTTTGCTGTGAGTCGGAATTCACTCAACAGCAACAGATATGAGTAGGTAAAATAATTGAATTATTACCTACTTGGTGAAATTTAGTGGACAATTACATACTTTACATTTAAAAAAAACTGTTTTAGGCTTGTTATCAGAGGTATAATTCTGATCCTTGGACTAGGGTTAATGGTATGAGGTTCTATTTCATATTTTTATGTTTATATGAATTTTGGAACATTTCATTGTGCAACTTCACTTTTTACATTGACATTGAGAAGCACATGGTACAGAAATAGTGTATCCTCATCCCATCACCATATTTGTGTGTGTCTTGAGAGCATGTGATCATGTACATACACACACACACACACATACATATATTTTAACTCCTCTCATCTTGTTAAGGAGGCAAGGTTTCTGCCAAAAATCTAAACACTGTTCTGGAGAATTTGGGAGTGGAGCTCACAGAGCAGGAATTTCAGAACCTACAAAAACATTTATCAGTTGATGGTAAGCATTTCTGGCATTACTAATATTTTTACAGAAAGTTAGGCTTATGTATGAGGGTTCATTACACAGTACTTATTTTGCCATATTGGAACTTTGGAATTTATTTATAAATGTGAAGTGTTAAATATATTAAAATAGTATCTTCTCTTCTAAGTCTTTGGTGTCACCACCAAGCTTAAGCAATATGTAAGAGTAAGTCTGCTGTTAAAGACATGCTGTGGTTAGCCTCAGAAAAGAAAACAAGACAAAGAAAAATAAAAGGGTAAATGAGTAGAAGTAGAAGGAAAGAGGAGGTCTGAAAGTTAGATAGCAAGAAATGGAAGGGATCCACAGGATAAGCACGTAGACTTTCAACAGTTCCCAGGCTGGAAATGGGGGCAGGCTGAAGGGCCCATATGAGAGAGTATGGGGAAAAGAGGTGATGTGATTTGCCTCTTATCCCATCATTGCAGTTTCCTGATTCTGAATCAAATCTTTATTCCATACCCAAGTTTTGAATATAATATTAGATTTGATATGTACAGCACTCTGTTGTTGAAATTATTTTTTATTACAGTTAATGAGAATGTAGATCTGAATACACTTCTGGATGAAGTTAAGGTTCTTAAAGGTATGTGCGAAATTATGACTGGATTAAGAAATGTTCATTCTTAGTGTGAGCTATTCACCATATATAACCTACAGTTCTTTGGATATCGCATTTGGAAGAATAGTACCCTTTGCAGTCTTTGACCAGGTCCTAACTTCTCTGAATTTTTACAGGTAATGTGCTTTAAAATTGCCCCTACTTGAAAAACAAAGGATGTTAGTTGTTTCCAATGAATCTAGTCAATAGAAACTAAACGCAAAATTCAGTGAAGAAAGACAGATAGTATTTATTAGTCAAAGTCAATCATTTCTATTTCTGGCCTCAAGCAAAATTCTTTGTCTCTTATGCCTCAGTCTCCCCTTTTCTATATATTTCAACACGTAATACGCAATTCAACTTTCTTTTCCTTTTCTTCTCTTCAGTCATCCATTGCCATCCTTCTGTCAATCTACTTTGAGAAAATGGTTTGTGAGCAGCCATTTACACCCCAGTATGAATTAAATGTGAGATAATAGACATTCCAATGTTTGACTTGAAAAGGGCATTACACTACCAGTTGCCATGACCTTTCGGAAGCAGATCGCCAAGCCTTTCTTCCAAGGCACCTATGAGGGGTTCCAACAGTCAGTCTTTTGGTTAGTAGTCATGTGGTTAGCCCTGTGTGGCACCTACAGACTCCAAAAAGGACATGAGAGATCATCTGGTTCAACCACCCACTTTTACAGATTGCTCAACCCCCTATTTTTACGTTAAGGAAACAGGCCCAGAGAGGTTACATGACATGCTGTATGTAAGTTACTCAGAAAATTAATAGCAAAAGCCAGGATCAAATCCCATATCTCTCAACTTCAAGTCAGTACTCTTTCTGCTATACCACGCTACAAGACATGAAGTACAAGACACACACACAGTACAAGATACCAAGGATCTATCTTGAATGGAATTCTTATCATTCTGTTCGCAGTTGCTTCATTAAACCACTCAAGCTAATATTATATGCCACCAGTTATAGAAAGGAAAACTTACGTCCCTATGGACAGAGTTTCATGCAACAGGCGAGAAGGTTGAGGAACTGTTGTTAAAGAGTATCTGTCTCAGAGCCCTCGAAATTATACTGCATAGGTGGCTTACTGTGCTTACCCTGGCCCTGGGGATTTAGAGGAATGATCTGTTCTGCTCTTATTCACGGCACAATGAATAAAAAAAGAATCATCTCGAGGCATATCATCGTCAGCTTTTAGAACACTACTCCCTGCTTTTGAGTGGATTCTGACTCATAGCAACCCTATAGGACAGAGTAGAACTGCCCCATAGGGTTTTCAAGGCTGTAAATCTTTACAGAAGCAGACTGCCACATCTTTCTTCCACGGATTGGCTGATAGGTTCAAACAGCCATCCTTTTGATTAGCAGCCAAGCTGCTTAACCACTGCACCACCAGGGCTTCTTTTAGAACACTGGATAATACTAAAAGCTGCAGAAAGAAAAAAGAGTGCCTTGGGATACCATTTCAAGTCAAACTGTTAGTCAAGTATGAGAGTATCATAAAAATAGTAGGAATTAAGGATCAAATGGAGGGCGAAAGGGGAAGGAGCCAAGATAGTTGGGAGAAATTATATGTTTTAAAAAAAGAGCCCTGGTGGCGCAATGGTTAAGCACTGGCTGCTAACCAGAAGGTTGGTTGTTGGAACCCACCGGCGGCTCTGGGGGAGAAAACACTTGGTGATCTGCTCCCATAAAGATTACAGCCTAGGAAACCCTATGGGGGCAGTTCTACTCTGTTCTATAGGGTCACTATGGGTGGGAGTCGACTTGATGGCACACATACTTTAAATGAAAGTTTCCGAATTGTCCACTTTCATTTCATTTGGAAGGGCTGTCACACAAAACTCTAAAACAAATTTTAACTTTTAGACTTTTTATACAATATTTTAACCTTTCATATTGTTCATGAATTACTATATATTTTTCTTTTATTATAGATGAGAGAAAAATAAGTCAGAGGAAGCTGATAGATACAGCAGAGGCTGTTAAAGGTAAGATGAAAAGGCAGTACAACTGTTATCCTTTTGCTTTGATTCTTGTTCTATTACCTAGAGATTAGATTGTGGATCTTGCCACCCCCTATAAATTGTTTTTATAGATATGTAATTTTAGATATCTATCAGTTAGTATACCTTGATAGCCCTGGTGGCACAATGGTTAAGCACTCAGCTGCTAACTGAAAGGTCAGTGATTGGAACCCACCAGTGGCTCCAGAAAAGACTTGGCGATCTGTTCCTGTAAAGATTACAGCCTGGGAAACCCTATGGGGAAGTTCTACTCTGTCATATAGGGTCCCTATGAATCAGAATCGATTCCATAGCCCACAATAACAGCATACCATGATAAAATTATTTTGAATCTTGGAAAGAAGTTCCAATCTTGATTGATGAGGGAAAAATCAGCCTTTGGGTTTACCTAGCAAAAAGTGAAGTAGTGAACTCAGGATTTTATTAGCAACAGATACTACCTTTCTAGGTAGTCTGGACAACAAAAATAAACCTTATTTATTGATCCGAAGTATTAGTATTAGATTGCTTGCCTTCAACGTTAGAATTTATTTAGTCAGTAAACATTCATTGAGTTCTTACTGTACTAGGCACTTCTCTAGGTATAGGAGATACAGTGGTGAATCAGACAATGTTCCTGCCTTCATGGAGCTTACATTTCCTTAGTAGGTGAGGGAGAAATGAATAAATCAAAAATGAGATAATTTTGGAAAGCAATAAGTGATAGGAAAGAAAAAGAAGGTAATATATTAGAGAGAGGCTTTGGCAAGGCTATTTTAGATAGGATGGTTAGGGAAGGTCTGATAAAGGAGATGATGTTAGAGCTGAGGTTTAGACTCAGCCTCCTTATAGAACTTTGTGTTGAATAGGCTTTTCTTCAAAATAAAAACGGTTGTCTTCGAGTTGGCACTGACTCATGATGACCCCACGTGTGCGTGGCAGAGTAGAACTGTGCTCCATAAAGTTTTCAGTGGTTGATTTGTCAAAAGTAGATCTCCAGGGCTTTATTCTGAAGTGCCTCTGAATGGACTTGAACTTCCAACCTTTCAGTTATCAGCTGAGCACATTAACTGTTTGCACACTCAGGGATTCCTTTCTTCAACATAAGCCTAATTAAATAAGTTCTACTTTTAATTCTAATATTAAACCTCATTGCCACTTGGATAAATTTTATTTGGACTTCATGATGGACATAGTAATGATCATATACAGACAATAGTTGTTTTCATGTTGTAGAGTTATAATATTTTTTTCATGGTTCTTTCTCTTTCCTAAGAGGGAAAGATTGATATCAATAACCTTGAACCATTCTGGAGAACATTGAAGTGAAGCTCTCTGATAGGGAATTTGAAGAATTCATCATACAATCTTCCAGTTGATTGTGAGCATTATAGATACCACTATTTTTCCCCCCAGGGGGAATTTGGGATTGTGGATTTATGATTTCACATTCCCAAAACTCTATTCATTTAATCTCCTGAAGGTGATTGATATATATGTTAAGAGAACCCAGCCCTAAAGTAAGCCATTCTGTTTTCCTGTAGTGAGCACCACCTTCATGATAATTTAGAATATTCCATGTTTATTGAACTAAAGTGTGGTGATCATGGTCAGTTTTAAGAATATTGGTCAAGTGATTGCGCTGCTTTTAAATCCTGCCCCAGCAGCCTGATTTGGTGGAATGGAGCAAGTACTGATTTAGCAATCTGTCAGATATAGTTTTCTATCTCATGCTAACTTTGTGACTTTTGGGTGAGTTTCCTAACATTTCTGAGCTTCCACTTCTTTATTTGTTTAAAAAAAAGTCATAATAACTTCACAGAAGTTTAGGTATAGTATATGAAAGCATCCATCACAATACATGGCTTGGTAGACACTCATTAAATTACATTTTTTTTCCTTCTCTGACTGAAAGAGAGAGTAGGTTAGAGATGTCAGGAGACCAAATCAAAACTACAGGTTTGGAGGAGAATACTTTTAAATCTTTAAAATTTTGTTGTCATGCTATAAATAATTTAACATTTTAGTACTTTAACCAAAAGAGCATGTGTTCTTATGATGTGGGAAGGATGATAGAAATACAATGTAATGAAAATCCTGGACAATTGTTAACTGCTTATGCTCTGTTTCACAATTAAGAATTCCATATTGTAAAGTATTAGCCCAAGAGACAGAAAGGGCCACATAAACCAGAGACTTCATCAGCCTGAGACCAGAAGAACTAGATGGTGCCCAGCTACCACCAATGACCT